AAAACGAACATTTTAATTCAAATATATGAACACCGATGACGTTTTATGTATTAATTAGGCGTGTTTCCTTTATAATTATAAGGAGGTTCTAAAGTTTGACAGCAAAATAGATTATTTATTTGATAATAGGTTGTTATAAAACATATGTGAACGTCTGTGTCGTGCTAATTACGTTCTTTGTCCTGTATTACAAGGAATAAAAGAAAAAGACGACTTGTGGAGAGAGCAACGCTGTGAATACATCAGATATTTTTAATAGGCTAGAGGCAAGGGAGGGTTTTGTATGAAAGGCTGGAAAAGGATGATTATATAAAACAGCTTTGTAATAAATTTTCTTTTGGGTTCATGTTCAGACAGTTACAAGTACATCATTCTTGAGTTACATCAAAAGCACAAGCCATCATATTCTAATATTAAATAAATTCCTAAATTTCACATAATGAAAGTTTAAATTTTCAAAAAAAATTATATCATACATAAAAGTTAATATATCTGCATAATATGTTGGAAATTAAAAGTAACTTACATCTTATAAAAAAAGATGTAACTTTGATTTATATAACTTTATAACATTGCAGAGTTATACATTAAACGCACGATTTTTTTTTTAAACAGCGGATTTCGATCTGACATAACAGAAATGTGTTAATTTATAATAAAGAATATTTCTTTAAGTGCGGACTCAAGCTCGAGAATCTCAAACTCAACCTGTCAATTTTGGGCAAACTCGTATCTGCTTCAGGGATAAAATATCTAGCAAAATCACTGTTCTTTACCAAAAAAAACAACATATTAGTAACAATTAACCAGTTTGGAAAAGTAACTACTTTGCGCCTAGTTATTCAGAACCTTTCTTAGCGGGTTTACTTTAGTTCCACGACTTTTAAAAATTATATGAACATATACATACTGCATGTTTCCTCTTAAAAATATCTAAGCAAAACATTTCATTATTAAAAAATTTAGTCTACCATAAAATTTTCGTGTACGCAAGATAATCTACTATCGAATACGTAAACCACTTTGACTCCTCGTAAAGGTTTACAGCTGTTAATACAGTCACCATGTCTTTATTATTCATACATAATATGGATGGTTCAATACACATTCATATAGCATATGACAACCTTTACTATAGTAATGTTTTGCATCTAGGGTACATCAAACATAACTTCGTTCTGACTAGAAATATTTTAAACCCAAATGATATCTGTGATAAATTGCAATGGATTATACATTACATTCGTGACGTAGTCGCCATTTAACTATTCGTTGACGAAGACAATAAAAAGTAAATGTATTACATACACAAACAGTTCTTACCATAAAGCAGCCAACCAAACCCATCCGTCGGATTGTTTTGTTAACATTCCATATATCGTCAGGGGGGCTCGTGGGTTTCGAAGGCTGCATTAGTCAAGCTTGTCCAATTTTAAAAAAAAAAACAGTACGAATGTGAAACAGATATGAAGAAAAACAATCGTATTTATAAATTTAAATAGTGCAATATTAGATTCTGCACTTGATATAACGTTACCAAAAGCATTAACAGTTACTCCAAAGTATAAGACTTAAAAGCATACGTTTATGTTAACTGTAAGGCAAAAGTTTAGAATTCTGACAAAGCTCCTAATATTACGATATAATTTAAAACAGAAACGTACCTACGTATTTACATTATTTGACAGTGGAAATTAGAAAACAACGAACAATATTACGATTTGTCTATGGAATAATGCAAACATTGTATACAAAATGACCGAGTATAACATCTAGTAACAGAATATAAGACCGATTCCATTAAAATATGCATGCCTAAAATCTAGAACACAGAAATGATTTTATAGGTAGCTATTTGAGAAAAATATTTGCCCTTCAGGATATTAGACTTGAGGATTTTTTTTAGAAAAAAAATTTCCTTAAAGCAAACAGTATTCTAAAATCCCCAGTGAACTGTTCCCTTGCATTTTATGGTTCATTTCCAGCTCGATCGGTAACACAACATATTTATATTCTGATAACAATTTTTTGTTTTTATAAACAAAGAGACCGTCACAGTGAATTCTTCAGCTAAACTTATTTCACTTTATTACATTCGTGATAGACGCTGGGCGTACTTCTCGTGAAAAATCTTCATGGGATAAACTAGGTTAAGAAAACAGTCACTTCCAACAGAACAACATTTTCAGTACATGAGGTCTAAGTATTTACGTGTTTTGAAAATAAAACACTTTTCTATAACATGTGAATGTTTGTATTTACCTTTGAAGTTATACTTCGCCTGATATGACATTGAATTTACTCGTGATTCAGTGAATCAATTAACTTTCATAGAACTTTCCTGTAGACAAAGGAATTCCATGACGCCTTTTTTTTACATATTTTGTAAAACATAAAAGTTTTATGTTGATAATTCACAAATATTAGTCTTCTCAGGAAGCTGTTTCCTCCATAACTGCTGTTACTCTCAGATGAAAATTTCCAGAATCTGTGGGGGAAAAAAAAAAATTTAGCTTTACAAAGTTATTCACAAACACATATGACGTTTTGTGCAAGACAATAAAATGAGAGTACGTAGTTTGGATAGAGCATGAAAATAAATAGGATAAAGTTCTCATGAAATCTGAGTCTACAGAAATACATTCTGGGAATATTTTAAAGAACACAACTAAATCATATTCTGTATAGCGTTATGAAATATGGCCACCGAGGAAAACAATTTAGTACGTTAATTCTGGTAAAAGTCTACAGACGTTCCCGTGGTGTTGGCTGCCTCCAGAATAAAACCCTTTACAAAATTATCATTTATTGACCAAAATACAAATCAGACTATTATTTATTAGCAGATATACAAATAAAACATATATACATACAAAAATGCAGATTAATGACACGCAGAACAGAATGATGAAACAGCAAACCAGTCCCTGGGAAAGTGTCAGCTTTCTTCCCCACTTTCTAAGCCGGAAAACAAACCCAACTTAGTCTAAAAGAAATTCAAGAGACGTGAAACATCAGACCACCGAGCAGAGACTGACTTACACTGGTCCCCAAACAACATATGAAAACAGAAGAAGACCACGTCGCACTCTGATGGAGAAAAGGTAAGGTTAGAACAGGGTGATACAAGAGAAAGGCAGTAAAGGACCGGGTGTGTCAAAGATAAGGTCACAATAATAAGGGCGATCTTGGGTAAACTTCTACCAGACAACATCAAGCAGACAGCCATCTCTACAGTCAGTAACAGTCGCATGTAAGGTTAACCGACATCATGTTGATGTTTTATTTAATCTCTTGTGTTTAACGTACGTACGATTCTGAAGGAAAATGGCCATGGTCTATCTCAAGTTACAAGCTCTGATTGTCCGGAGAAAATTAGAGGAGCTACACCAGTCTGCAACATGGAAAGGTGCGACGCTGTGGGGACAGGAGGATTCATCTTTCTGGCACAGCGATGAAGAACGGTACTGACAAAACAATGTGCTAAAACATTAATGTTCCATTGGAGTATGATCGCTCCGAACGGGGCAAACAATCCGAAAATTCAATTAATTTTTATGAATGCGTAAAATAAAAACAGAAGATTGCTGTCAACAGTTTCAAATGTCAAATTCTACGAAATGAATATCTCACGTGCCGAAACACTGACGAATCTGTGTCAGTAATACGAAAGTAGGAAAGTTATTTAAATCTGGAGGACAAGCATTCATTATCGAAGGCTTTATTCTTTTGTGACTCTGCAGATACACAGCACATAATGAATTATTTGTACATAATAATGGTGGAAAGATGGTAATGATGTGTGAGTAGTAAAAGATTAAAAAAAAGGCCTTTTGTACAGTTTAACGTACTATCGCAACATTCAGCTGGAGATGGTGAGAATTTTACGAAAGGATCTCCGTGAGGATATACTGTAATCCAGCCAAAAATTCGAACCCGGTACCTTCATAATACCGCTACGTTAATCTCCTCAATATAACTACTATCGATACGGGTAAGGAACAGAAGAGGTGATGTACTAACAGAATTATTCAATAGAACACGTTTTCCTATTAGTTACTGTGCACAAAGGCATATAAAAGTTAATTTTCCAAATCATACCTATGCTATATGAAGAGTTATTTATGTGCTGAAAGTTAATTTTCCAAATTATACCAATGCTATATGAAGAGTTATTTATGTGCTCATATTTGCTATTTATGTGTTTCGTTAGAAAATAAGTTATGTAGTTGATTATTTATCATTTAAATTTGAAGGAGTATTACCTATACGGAAATTCTTTGACAGCTTTGCCTAAACGAGTATGAAATGCGGCACCCAATCCAGTTTTAGCGCGTAGTAAAATCTTCTTGCATCAGCTTAGCCGCCAAAAAATTTCCATTTTGTTAGATATCTGTTTATTCTTATGAATGATTTATATATTTACGATACTTTCTTCTTATACAACTAAGTTTATTGTAAAATAATTTTTCAATATTATTCCCGGCGGTGCCCGAATTTATAACTTGTGTTGGGCAAGGCCGTGGTCTAGGCAACACGGAGTTTTCCTCCGGGGGCTTCCGTGGCATCCCAACAATTACTCCATTCACACACAGAAGAAGGCAATGGCAAACCACTTCTGGATCATCTGCCAAGAACGTATATGAACAGGTCCCAGTCCGAGAAAAGGATGGAAGGATCCTGTTCATATGGACCTGTCGTCAGACAGAACATTAAATAAATAATAAATAAAATATTCTAGTCACTTAGATAGTGAAGATATTTCGTCCTTCTACTTAATTTTTAAGTTCATTACACTGTTCTCAAAGGCTCACCGTTGGCCACTAAGTTGATTCAACTGAATTATATCTACTTTGCCATACTATTCCTCGATGGTTTGTTAAAACACTGTCTTCCCTTCTAACCCTGTGTGTCTCATATCTTCCCAACTACGAAATGAAACATTTGGATAAGTGAGAACTAAAAGTAACAGTTTCTTACACGATTATTTAGTCAATACGTAAATTAGGCATTCAGTTATAAACTTATACGTAGGTTTAAATGTAATCCTTTGAACATTTCATAACGTGGAATAGACCCCAAGCGTCCGAGAACTTCTGTGGAGTCCATTCTCCGGTGTTGTGAATTTACCAAACACATGCCACCGTCAGACAGCGAGTGCTACATTGCAGATAAAGCCTTCATGCAGAATGGAAATGAGATTCAAATTCATACGCGGAGTTTGCTGTTACTGTTTACGTTCCGTTAGAGAATTTCATTTCAAATATGAAATTACGTCAGAACTACATCCACAGTGGCTTTATGTGTGTCACCAGTGGAACACCAGTGGAACACCAGGCCTGTATATAAGGTAACATTATGTCAAAATACTGATCGTGAAGACGTACAGAGGAAATAGATGTGATCTTAATCTTAGTACTACATAAAAATGAGTGGCCAGTTGCCCGAAGACTCATTACCCGCCCTCTTTTGGGCTAAGGTAGCTGAATCCAAACCACGCCTTCATATACTGTTTGTTTAAGATTAATTTTAATATTATCCTGTATCCACAACTGTCTCTTCTCTGAAGGCAATGAAATTTGTGACTAAAATTTTGTATGCGTTTCTAAATTATCCCTATCGTGCTACATTCCTTGATTTGTTCATTCTAATAATATTTTATCAAGAGTATAATTATTAAGCTCCTCATTTAAATATATACGTTAAAGTAAAATCCCTAAATCCGCAATCGTATTAGATTTTCTAGTAAAAACTATAAGTCCCCCAATTTCAACTTCAACCGACAAAAGTTGTATGTACAGGGTGAATCAAAAATATGTTTACAAACTTTATGTGCGTGTTTCAGGATAAAAAATAAGAAATAATGTACCTTTAAACATGGGGTCGCAAATGTTTCATTTTCGAAATAATAGCCAAAAATAAGTTTCAATGAATTTACTTTGTATCAAAGTGAATCCAGCTTCAGCAAAGATTTTCAATTAACGTTTTGGCAGAAATTGTTGGCGACATGCTCACTGGTCCACACGTGCTTCCATCGCGTCTAAGAGGACCTTCACATCGGTGATTCTTAAGAAGACACTTGCCACGTCTCCTTGAAGATGTACCACTGAATACAAGAAGACAAATGTGGTTTGTGCACGACGGAGCCCCAGAACACTTCTCCCATCGCGTCAGAGATCATCTCAATGAACAGTGGTGGCCCAGTAGCATGGCCACCGAGGTCACCGGACCTGACTCTATTGGACTTTTATCTGCGGGGTCACTTGAAGTCCGTCGTTTATGCAACACCCACAAACAATGAAGACGACCTGTGGGAACGTGTGCAGAATGCATGTCAGATGACTCGAGGAAACTCTGGTGTGTACGAAGGAATTCGTCAGTCTTATGTACGTCGTGCTCGTGCGTGTGTGGAGAATGGAGGAACAACCTTTGAGCGTCTGTTATAAAGAAACATCCCTCTCTTTATACTTGGCAATAAACTCCTACATTGAAAATTATTTTTGGCTATTATTTCGAAAATGCAACATTTGCGACCCCATGTTCATAGGAACATTTCTTCTTACTTTTGATCCTGGAACACGCACAAGAAGATTGTAAACATACTTTTGACTCACCCTGTATATAAAGCACACATCTGAATTTCTGCAAATACTGTGCTACTAATATCAAATATATGAAATGTAAGTCAGAATTATTTAATTGTGAATGGCATAAAGATTATTTAAATTAATTTGATATTTCTTTTAGGGAAGTGTTTAGTAATGGATTCCGTCTAGGCAAAATATTCGGATAAAAAATCTAAGACTCACGCGGTCACATTCTGTAAGCTAACTGATCACTTATAAAAGATATTCCGTACTAAAATTATTTTCAATATATTTTCGTACATAACGTAGTCTCATTACGTCCAATGTTACATAATTAATCGCTATCATTCTGAGAGCTAAGTAAAATATCTTTGCATAGGAACTATTTTCTTGCTCTGTTTTTTACAAAACTAATTATAAAATGAAAGTTGCATATTTTTGAAGATTTATTACCATAAAAAATTTCAAGAGCTCGAAATTATGTGAAAATATGCCATTATATGTTCAATATTTCAATCTGATCAAAGTGTTTTCAAGGATTTGTACATGACTGTAAAGGGATCCATATTCTGGGCAAATATCTAAATTTCCTTTATTCGGTTTTACGTATATTAGTCAAATTATCCGTATTATGCACGACACTGCGCTAATTTGAATCAATATTGCTACCAAATTAATCGATAATACTAAAAGGTAGTAACTGAAATTAGACCATAAGCTGTATAATGGGCTATATAATTTAATTTCACTGTACTAAACTTAATTTCTAGCAACTTTATCCGTTTACGATAGATATGATTTCAATTCGGTTTCAAATCTATTGTAATTCTGAATAGATTAAACAAAAATATCATACTGATTGTCGATTGGACTAGAATTAATTAACGTCACAATATGAAAA